AAAAAAAAAAAAAAAAAAAAAAAAAAGTGTGATAACCAGAAGTGGGAAAATTAAAAAATAAAGAGTAAGAATATTGTTTATTTACATAATCATTATCAATTTTTTTATTTTAATTTAAAGAACATTTTTATTAAAAAATTAATTTATTAAATATTTATTCTTTTTTAAAATACTAAATATATATAACATTAGAAATACATTATGCATAAAGTGAATAGAGATTTAAATTGCTTAATTTATATATTCTTACTAATTAGTAAATATTTATCTTTGTATTTTTTTTAATTATATTATGACAAACATTATATAGAATGTTAAAAAAAATGTTGTAAATGTTAATATAATAAAGAAATACAATTTTTTGAAATAAATAAGAATATGGTTAATAAAAAATGATATCAAAAACGAATAAAAAAAAGACAAAACTATTTAATTTTTTTTTTTTTTTTGCTATACAAATAAACTAAAATGTATGAGTTCATCATTTTTTTTAAAATTAAAATGTTAAATATTTTTTCTTAATAAGTTTAATAGTAACATTTTATTTGCTTTAATTTTTCTAATAATAAATTGAGGAATAAGAGAAGAGGTTCCCAAATCGATCTAAAAAAAAAAAAAATAAAATAAAATAAAATAAAATAAAATAAAATAAAACATATCAATAGGAATTGTTCTTCATACGAATATTAAATATGGTTATATATATATATATAAAGGAAAAAATTTTTTTTTATATAAAATAATTAAAATTAAAAATAAATTTACAGAAGAAATGTAAGTAAGCTTAATGTAGCTTTCCTCTCTTTTGATAAAATATCCAGATAAATTAATATGCATTTTTCTCAATGAAGAATTTTTAATTTTTTCATCACATTCAATATCAAGTGTAAAAGAATTTGCACTATTAATAAATGGATTAGTGAAAGGAATATTGCATTTTTTATTATTATCATTAATATTTAATGATAGACATGCTATTAAATATGTGTTTTTATTTATCTAAGAAAAAAAAAAAAAAAAAAATTGTCATTTTTTCTTATATAATTATAAAAATAAAATAAATCATATACCTTTTTTTTGTGTGCTAAAATATAAAAATATCTTCCTTCTTTTCCTAAAGTTCCTTTATAACTTTGTTGTACTAAAATTAAATTTTGATCATATATACGAATAATTTTTCCTGCAATATTATTTTAAGATATTAATAAGAAATTAAGAATATATAAAATATTATAAAAGAAATTTTTTTTTTTTTTTTTTTATTTTAAACCTTCTATGAAGTGAGGATCGAAATTTCTTGCACCATTTTCATCCCATATTATTCCTATTATTTTTTCCAACTAAAATATATAAAAATATTTTTAAAAATTTTTAAATTTTATTTTATAATTTTTTATTTTTCTTTATTAATCTATACTTTTGATGTATCTGGAAAAATAAGTTCTATTTTTCCAACTTCAGTATTATTAACTTTTTTAAAATACAAATTTGAATGTTCATCAATTGTACTATATTTATAATAATCTTCATCATTTACAGCAAAATTATATAAAACATCTACCGCTTCTGTAATTATTTCGTTTACTTTCATAATTTCACTTTTATGATTACAAATTAAATGAGACATTTGATTTAACCTATCAGATATCTCATTGGTATGATTATTTTCTGCATTATTCATTTTAAAATTATTTATAAGGAATATTCAATTAAAATACTATATAAAAGAAAAAAATTGAATTATTTCATCCTAGTATTACATATTAAAAAAAAAAAGAAATTCTTTGATAATTTCTTATCATAAAAATAATTTTACACAATTATTAAAAATTAAATTTTAATATTTTTTATTAGTTTTATTTGTATTTTATATATATTAAATGAAAAAAAAAAAATATACAACTTTTCCTTTTTTCCATATTATACACATATATATATATATATAATTGTATACATATGTAAATATTCCTATTTTTTTTTAATTACCATATATATTTTGAGATCTAAAATATACGTATTTGAAGTATAATTCAGATCTACTAAAAAATGTCAAATTAGTACGTATTATTACAATTTGTCTTATAATAAAAAAAATATTAATATAATTATAATTCTATAACAACTTTTATTATTTAAAACATCAAATTTTTTAATTTTCAAAATTTATATAAAATCAGAAAAAAAAAAAAAAAAAAAAAATATTTAAATAAAAAAAAAAATAATAAATAACAAATTAATATGCCATTCATATTAAAATATAAAAAGTGTTTTAAAAAATTTAAATGGAAAAAAAGAAAAACTATAGATTAGAATAAAAAAAATTTTTATGAAAATTTCATTGATATTAATTGCAGATTTTTCAAAGATTAAGGAATAATGAAATATTTAACCTAAAATATTTAAGGTAGAAATTTTACATAATTAATTTATGGTATCAATTTATTTTTTTTTTTTTCATTTAAATTTTTCCCACAATTTTTTAAAAGAACTGTATTACTTTTATAACATATAATTATTATTTTTGAATACAATATATATTAATTTTTTATTAAGAATATATATATATATATATCTTATAAACAAAGTGGAAAGAAACAGTAATATGCATGCAAGAGGCATTTATATTAATAATTTAAAGAAAAATAATATTATTATACTCATAAAAAAAAAAAAAAAGTTACATATGTATGTAATCATTTAAATTTATGTTGAAAATTATTATAATGGAAAAAATTATTTCTTTTTAAATTATTTAAATTTATAACATAAATAGTAAATCTTTTCTTTTTTTTTTTTTTTTTAGTATATAAAATAAAGTTTTATAAAAAAAAATAATTATTACAAAAATGAAAGGTTGATATATTTAATTGTTACATTAAAGTTAGTTTTAAGAACTATTAAATCCATTATAAAGAAATTTTTTTTATTTGTTTAAATTATTACATTTATTATAGAAAAAAATATCTTATGAGTTATTTAGGTGTTTTATATATGCTGAAAAATTTAATGATAGAGTTTTTAATTCTAAAATATTTATATTTTGTATTTTACACTATTTAATAAATATATTTTGTTATAAAATTAGTATAGCACATTCATAAATATTAGTTATTTATACAAAAATGAAAGGTTAATAAATAAAATAAATTATCAAATTTTTATATTTATTTAGTATCATGAAATAATAAAAGAACATTGAGATTGAAAAAAAAAAAAAAAAAAAAAAAAAAAAAAATTACTTTTTATGTATAATTCTTTCTATATTAGGAGTTACAACTATTTTATGATCGCAATTTCCTAAAAATATAAATTCGGAATTTTCTTTTATATAACATCCAATTTCTTGAGAAAAAGTACATGCTGATCCTTCATTGACATCAAATAATATGTCATTAATTTTCATCTTTATTTTTTTGTTTTTATAAATTATTAATTTTGCAAATTTTCCATTAGGTAATGTGCTTATATTGCTAAGCTCATATGAATCTTTTTTCGATATGTTAAATTTTTTTTTTTCATTTTTTTGTTTACTATCATTTATTTCTTCTTTTTTTTTTTCATTTTTATGTTTACTTTCATTTATATCTTCTTTTTTTTCTTCTTTTTTTTCTTCTTTTTTTTCTTCTTCACTTTCTTCTTTTTGTATAAGAGCAGGCAACATATTTGGTAACTGAATATAAAAAAAAAATGATTCCTTATTTAAAAGCATTTTCCTTATTTTTTTTTGTTTTTCATTATTATTAAAAAATGGCAAAGTTAATGGCAAAAAGTGAGCATTTGGGGAAGCACATTTTTTATTATAGAAAATATTTTTACTTATATTATTTAATTCATATATATCAATAGATGTTTTTTTTTTTTTTTCTGTATTTTCATTATTTTCTTTTTTATTTTCTAAGTTTAACAAATTAATTTGGTTATTTAAAGAAACATCAAGACTTTGAGAAGAAAATACCTTATTAGTTTTATTTTTAAAATTTTCATTTTTTGTTTCTTTTTGTAAATCTATGCTAATAGTTTTTTTTATTAATTCTTGAATATTCTTATTATCTAAACTTGCTAATTTATCTGTTTCTTCGTTCTTTGGTTTATTTTCATTTTTTAAATTATCTATATTAGGAACAAATTTTTTTAAAGGAACATTTTGATTATTATTTATCCCATTTTTTAATAAACTTGATTTACGCAAAGTGTTACTGATGCTTCTTCTCAAGCTGTACTCGTCATGATTATATCTATTACTCATTCTTAGTTAATTTTTAATTTTATAGAATATTTTTGCTAATATACATGTATTTTTATTATATCCTTATTGTACTTAAAAGCTAAAATAATGGTAATAATAATTTTAAGAATACATTTTTCTTACTATTTTTTTTAATACTTCAAAAAGTAATAACTCTTTAAAAAATCTATTTTTATTTGTTCTTCAAAAAATATATATTATATATATATTTTTTTTTTTTCATTTTAAACTTGTAAACACAATAAGAAAAATAATCATTTTATTTTATCTTTTTTTTTTTTTCAACTTAAAATTAAAAAATTCGAATAAAATAATTTATTTATATATATATGTAATACCTTAAGATATTGTGTATATATAAAAAAAAAAAAAAAAAAAAAAAAAAAAAAGNAAAAAAAAAAAAAAAAAAAAAAAGAAAAAACATAAAGAAAAAAAGAAAAAAGGGAAAGAAGAAAAAAGAAAAAAGAAAAAAGAAAGAAGAAAAAAGAAAAAAGAAAAAAGAAAAAAGAAAAAAGAAAAAAGAAAAAAGAAAGAAGAAAAAAGAAAAAAAGAAAAAAGGGAAAGAAGAAAAAAGAAAGAAGAAAAAAGAAAAAAAGAAAAAAGAAGAAAAAAAAAAAAAGATATTTCAATACAAGAATTGAAAACACCGTAAAATTGTAGTTATATCTAAAATTCAAATTCAAATTATATTTAATATTGAAAAATAATATGAAAAATATATGTATTTATGAAATTTTTTTTTTTTTTTTTATAATTTCAATACAAAGAAATATATAAAAAAAAATTTTATTACATTTTTTCTTTCTGTCATTCAAATTTTCAATTTAATGGAGTTTTTATATTATTATATTAATATATATTTTTTAAAAAAAGACTACATATCTTTTTTTTTTTTTTTTTTATGCATTTATTTTGTTTTGGTGTACAAAAACATTTTCAAGTATTACCCTTTTTGATAATTCATGTGTTTCTTTTGGTGGCAGTATGTAAATATTTGAAAAAAAATTAGATGGATGCGCTTTATTTACATCAATAGAGTAGGCACATATAAATAACTTTTTATGTACTTCTTTAATATAAGACTTTTCATTAGTGTATGACGGAAACAAGAATATATCTGGTAACTTATTAGGATGAAATAACAAATTATTAAATTTTGTTGTTTCAATATTATATTCACACGGATATGAAGGAAAAAAAGAAATTTGTCTTATAATCTGTTCAAATAAATAAAATAATTTCATTTCACTAGGTTTGCATAATAAGTTTTTACTTAAATTATAAACTACATCACAAGATGTCAATGCGATTTTTAGTTCATTTATATAAATATAAGAGGGATTAGACAAAAAATGTACATTGGATAAATTATTACTATTTTCATAAAAAAAAGGTGGTTGAGGTAATGGGTATATATTGATAGAGTCATATATAGATGGAATAATAAAAAAATGAGTTTTTTCTAAGTGCTCATTTTTTGCAATTTTTATAATTTTTTTAAAAATATTATCATAAATAACATTAATATCTCCAATTTTTTGAATTGTTTCACTGAAATTACGAATAAATAAAAAAGGGCCAAAAATTAAAACTACATGAGGTGACTTTTCATTTACGATTTTTAAAAAATTATTTAAATTATCATTATAATCATTATCATTATAAATATGTCCATTGCAAACCATTATATGAATGTTGTCATTATTGTATAATTGTGATATATCATCATGTATCCGACTATCTTCTTCTATTTCGTTACAGTTAAAATAATTTAATAAAAATTCCTTATCTATTTTTACATTCAAATGAGTTGGTAATCCAGCATATATATTACTAACATAATACTTTATACTATATTGATTAATTTCTTTCTTTCCTTTTATAGCCAAAATTTGCCCTAAAAAAAAAAATAAATTTTTCATATTATTTAAATTTAACAATTGAGCTTTATCTCCATTATTCCATTTGACATTTCCTTCTAAAATAATATTTGATTCACTTATATTAATTTCATTATCTGTATAAATTCTCCCAAAAATATAACAATCTTCTTCATTCATGTTTAATATAGGGCTTACTTCTATGTTTAAATTTAACTTTTCTGAGTACTTTAGAAATAATTCTAAAAATAAAGATATTTTTTTATTTATACATTCAGATATAACATTTGTATCTAAACCTAAAAATTGATAATTTTCATTTATTGTATTTATAGAGTTTATATACCAGTTATATTTATTGTTACAATTTATTCCATCTGTTCCTATTAATTGATTATTGTATTGTTTTACATATTCATATTCATATACGATATTATCTTTTACTAAGTTTTCATTTTTTAGTAATCTTTTATTATATACCTCTAAATAGTCTTCAAATAATTTATGAAAATTATTTTTATGCTTATTCCTTTCAATGTAATCAAAAACTTC